AACAAGCTCCCAGGTAGCGCCGATGATGCCAGCCTGAAGATCACACTCCAGTGGCAAAGCACTGACTGGCTCTTAGAGGCAGAACCTGGAATCAGTAGGGGCAACCTCAGATGAGAAGTAGGCTAAGTGACAGACTCTGGGCTCTGGGCTGCTTGTATCTTGAGGAGGAATACATCTGCCTGGATAGATCACCTTACCAGACACAAAGTGAATGAAAAAAATCAACGACCAAAAACACACTTTGCTAGCCACTCACTGGCTGCCAGTTTGCAATCTTATTCCAAACCTTTTATGTCTGTTTCTAGAACTATACTTTGCTGAAATTCAGGCCATGCCTGTCTTGGCTTGAGTTGTGGCTATGGATATATGTTTTCTACTATAAATATAGTAGATTTGTAGGACTGTAAGATGAAAAGAAAGTCAGATTTTTCATTCTCATATTTACCCATTGCTCTAAATGGTTGGGCCAACTGGGTTTTGACCCAAGTCCTGACTGTATTATGTCAAGTGTCTTGACTTGACTGTCTTTTGTCTTATGTCTTCACTGTCAAACGGCTCCAATTACTTCCTCTTTCCCTATTCTCAGCACGATGGCAATTACTTGTTTGAATTCAGACTTCCTGGCTAGATGATAAGCTCCATGAGGGCAGGGAGGATATGTATAATATGCTGCACAGAGCAGGTATGCAGTAAATATTTGTAGAGTGAATGAATGATGACCTCCCTCAAGGGCCAATACCAAAAGGGATCCCAGTAGGGGATTGGCCTAAAATACAGTGAGGAAGATGGAGAAAGCTCAGCAGTCATCTGGCCAATGGTCCTGTGATGATATGCCAGGGCTCTATCTAACTGACAAGCTCAGGCCACTGGCAGACTCTACTTTAAACTGGAAGTTTCCTGAGAGCTGCTGAGAACTAGGCAGTTTAGATGGCAGCCAGTCAGCTGCAGAGCAGGCGGATCCTCTCCCCTTTCCTGGAAACTGACTACAGCAAAAGTGCTGAGGAGCGTCACAGGATGGAAAGTTAGTTTCTGCCCCTGAGACAGGCCTGGTAAAGGGTCTCCCTGTAAATATATACATCTTTGTTTATGCTGACATTGATCAGCCCCTACCATGTGCCCTCACCTGACAACTACAGTGAATCTGGGATGGAAAGATGGTCCATGCCTTGAAGGAACTTGTAGTCTAAGAGGGGCTGGAGGGAGACAAGACAGCAGAGCTGTGTCCCATGATGGTCCTAATAGCCTCAGTTCTATGATTTCGGAAGAGGGGGAGGTCATCTCTGAGATGGACAATAAGAAAAGGTTCCCTGAAAAGTAAACAGATTTATTTATTTTTTTTAAGTGGTGAGGAGAGAACAGGCAGAGGAGATGGCAGGATCAAAGGTGCAGAGGCAGAGCCATGCAGAGCAGGTGCAAAGCCGGCCTGCAGACTGGTGGGAGGAGTCTAGGAGCCAGCGTTCCCTGGGCCCCCGCATGCGGACAGCTGGGTGAAAACTCTGGTAGACCCCTCTACTTATCGGTTGCTCTAAGGTAACCAGAGAGGTTTTCAGTGACCTCAAAACACTTGTTGAGAAGTTTAAAGGCCCATCTGGTCAAAACTTCAACCTTGCTTTAAAGTTCGGCGTCTTTCCCTCCTCTCCGCACCCGCAACTTGGCTCTATTGCAGATGAAAAGCCGGAAATTGGGGAAAGGGTGGTCACCGGTCTCTTTCCTTCTTTACCCAGCTCTCCTCCTCCTCTGTCTTGTGGCTAACTTGGGACCTTTGAAGGTCTTAAGCACAGGGGAGGGAGGAGAGGTAAGGGGGGTAAAACAGCCCTTGCTTGACTGGGACACACTGGTGTTCTCCAATGTGACAGATGTTTTGGGCTTATTTACTGTCTCTCACAGGGATACCGTGGTCCCTCAGGAGACCTACCTTTCTCCTTACCCCCTCCAGTATGGATGGGGATCTTTCAACTTGACTAGGGCATGAGTATTACTGTTCCAAGCAATCACTTACTCCTTCCCCTGCCCTTGGGCATCTCGAGATGCCTACAGCTTCTTTCTGCTGCGTTCTCTTTACCCCTCCAGATAGACAAGGTCTCTGGGGACAAGATCTAGAATGATGCCCATTGACACCTTGTGCACGGCTCACTTTAGTCTATGATTGCTCATGCATTGTTTGCCCTGCCAGATCCTGGGAGTGCGGGCCATCCAATGCTGCCCCTTGGCCTGTTCTGCCATCAGAGCAAGCTAACCAGCCCCCTTGTTCATAATTTAGATTTTCCAGGTAGGAGATAGACACTAAGCTGGGGAGGATAAATATCAAGTGCTTGAAGAGAGACCATTCAAATCATCATCTCTTGGGTTGAACAGGGGAACTTCTTCTTAGGACGGTGAATTGAGGTAGAACTCATACCAAAAGCAAGCTCCAAAACCTCTCCCCTCGCAGTCAACCACCTTTTCTTGCATCTGAAGTATGAATGAGGGATTAAGAACTGTGTAACCCGTTTTTATCCACCTCTTTTCAAAGTCCTGCATCACTGTGCTCTCAGACTTCCCTTTGAAATATACTATTGCCTCAGTTCTTCCACCAAAATTCCTTTTTAACATTTTGTTACTTTATTTATTATCTCATTTACCATCACTATAGTCCTATAAAGTAGTAAACCTATTCCCATTTTAGAGCATAGAGAGACCTGAGCTCCAAAATGACTGAAGTGGCAAGAAGAGGTTTTGAATCCAGATCTTTCTTACTCTAGGGATCTTAGGTCGTCCTGACGTAGAGGACACAAGTGGCTCAGCCACAAGTGCTTGATAAATATTCAGAGAATGCCTAAGAACTGGATTTGCCTAGATTGTAGAGGAATGCGGTGCCTTGGTATTAATTGATAGGGAGGGAGAACCCGTTGAAGTGTCACAAATGTCAGTGACAAACAGGAAAAAGTGATAGAGATAAACAAGAGAATTTAGAAAGGAGGAAGAGTGGAGAGGGAGAGGCACTTTAGGAGGCTACGGAAAACCTTGATGAAAGAGTGAGTTATAAAGGACCTGGTGAGCGTTGCTTTGTTAGGGTAATAAGGATAGAAGCCCGGTTGAAAGAACTTAAGGAGTGGTGACCTGGAAATAAGAGGAGTAATTACGCACCAGTTGTCCAAGCTGTCAGCATAGAAATAGGTTGCAAACGGGAGGAACTAGCAGGAACAAACAAAGCATATTTTTCTGGGGTGGGTGAAACCGGGCCTTCCTTGTAGACTGAACAGCCAGCAGGTAGACAGACTCTAAAGGTGCTGGAGAAAGCAGGAGCAGTATGAGAGAGCAAGGACTAGGCCGTAGTGAAACATGAGGGGCTAACATAGAAGCAAATGACGAATACATCTTCCTGTAAGAGGGGAAAGCTTGAAAGAAGGTGGGGGAGCAGTGGCAGGAGGGGCAGAGAGGAAGGAAGACAAGAGAGGCTGAAGGAGACTGCATCTGATATACTGAATTTTAACCGTAAACTAGAAATCAAAATAATGGATCAGGAGTTGGGGACCAGGAGGTGACAGCAGCAGGTTTGAGGAAGAGTTTGAAACACCCATTGTGCTACACGTGTTGAGAAATCAACTGTGGAAATCAGTGGATGAGTAAGTGCCGCCAACCATCAGGGCACTGACATTCAGCAGTCTGAGTTCACAGAGTCCCAGTCAGCACAAGGAGAGGATGGGTATGGCAAGCATTATCCCAAGCTAAGCAGTGCAGGGCATGGGCTGAGGGCTGAGCAGGTTTAGTTAGCAAGGGTAGGGTGAACCTTTCCAGACTGCCCAAGGAAGCCAAGTGAGGCCAGAAAAAGAGTCACAGATTTGTTAACTTACCTGGGAGTTCTCGGTGGAGACTAGTATTTGCTACCCTGGGTTTGGGGAAATGGGAAGGGTATAGGTGAAGATGTATGGTTATAAAGCAGGCTTACCTGACTCCAGCTTTCAGCCACATAACAGCACCTGGGCACCCCAGTGGCAGTGAAGGGGCCCTATGCAACAGGGTGGGAGGGTTTTGGCTTCAGCACGTCATGGTATGTAACCTCTTTGATCGAATTATAGGACAATCATGAGCTCAGGGACTGGGAGACAAAGAATTTACAGAGAAACATGTCTTCAAGCAGTGAGAATCAGAGAAAAGGGGGCACCATAGCCAGTGAAAACTCCAGCTTGCCACTGGACATATTTTACCTGTGTTCTACAACAGCTATCTTTTATTCCAGGATCTGAACAGGATTACTTGAGGCAATGATACGGTGTAGTTGTCCTAAGTTTTAAATGTTGTGTATAGATTGTTTCTATCAAACACAAAGACCAGGGACCTTGTTTATAGCATATTCTGCCTCCAGGCATGACTGTTCTTAAACTTTCTCAGAGAGAGTAACTAAAATTCCCTTTCATGTGTCTGGGGAACAATGCCATAAAACCTTTAATAAAGACACAATGAAACATACAATAGCTTCCTTTTGGCAAAGTGGGCAGCCTCATTCTGAAAGATGCTGATAGGTAAACTTTTGTCTCACCTTTGCCTACCAATGGCCATAGGTATCAAGTCACAGGGTCTCCTAACTAACACATGGCATGGTATCATTCAGATAAGATTATTTGAGTCTTTGGGAGAAGAATAAAAATCTATGATACCAAAGTCACTAAAAGAAAGCGAGTCACAAAATCACTTGCCCAAGGTCACGAAGTGAATTGGGGCCACAGACAAGAATCTTTGGGTCCTCTGTAGTTCATTTAATACCCCATTGATCTTAACATCACGTCAGAGGTGGAATCTTGTGAAACGCAGGATGATGACATCGGCTGAACAAAGCCCCCAAACTGCCCATCAGGCACCCCTGCTCGGCTCCTCGAGCCCTAATGAAAACCACTTTGAGAGGCGGGCAGCTGACTCTCCAGCAAAATCCTTTAGGATTCAGTTGAGAATTCCCAGAAGGGGTCCTGAGGTTTCCTTTCACAATTCACACCCTGGCCTTTTGGCTCTTCTCTCCCCTGCAGCTCCGAATGTCCTGGCTCATCCATGGAGTCTTGCAGGGAAATGTGTCCTTGGTGCTGGTGGAGAACAAAACCGGGAAGGAACAGAGCCGAACGGTCTGGCACGTTGCCACCAGCGAAGGCTTGAGTCTGTGGCAGTGGACGGTGCTGCCTCTGCTCGAGGTGGCTGACAGGTGAGCCTCTACCTGTTTCTGTCACTCCCTTTTCCTCTATCAGCCAAAATGCAGAAGGGATTCCCTCGTCTCCCCACCTTCCTGTGCCCGCCACTCAAGACACACATTCAGACATGCTCATATACAAGCACTCTCTCACACACACACACACACACACACACATACATGCGTACACTTCCTGTTGACTGACAGGGAACACTGAATTTCTCCGAGGGATTTCTGTGCTAATGAGCACTCATCTCTCAAATCTCCGGCCTGGCCTGATTGGCTACCTCCAGTATCTGTAGGAAGAAATAAAACTGAACAACTCATAGTACTCAGGCTTTATATATATTTAGCATTTGCTCTTAATTAATGGATTTTGCCTTACCTTTCACTTGACATTTTATTTATTCCCTATTAACAACAACAAAACCTATGATGTAGGTAGGATAGGCCCTGTCATGTTCCCCATTTTTGCACTTTTACAAAGTTCTCATCCGCTGAGAACCCAAGAGGCCAAGCAGCAGCTCAGGCCGGCCCAAGCCCAGGCTCTGTGAAGGCCGGTTCCCGAGGCAGGGGGATGAGGTAGGTGACAAGATCTTCAGTAAACAGAGGAGTCCTTCAACCAGAGGCCCTAGTTCTTACTGGGATTCTATCACTAACAACCTTTGTGACCTTGAATTTCTCTGGGCCTCAGTTTCCTCATTTTTAAACTAAGAGGGCTGTACTGGAAGGTCATGAACTCTGTGTGCCACTGAAACAGAGCAGTGACCATGGAGTTGAGCTCCCCTTGTCTGCCCAGGATGGCACCAGTCTGCCACCTGCAGGTGGCCCAGAGCGAACAGCACTTGGCCTGGCACAGCAGAGGACAAGGCAGATGCTTGGCTGTTACACTGAACCCTCCACAGTTGGTGCTGGTCTGTTTCCAGACCACAAAGACAGGGTGCAGGGGGTCATTTCTATAAAGGAGGCAGGTAGATGGATCTGGAGGGGGAAAACCATCTTTACTAGGCCAAATGTCGAACCAGACAATCCAGAGCACCTCTGCATTAGTCTCCTAAAACACATGCAGATCATCGTCCTAGTAAATCCACCTTTGAAAAAGGAGGGCAAAAGGGCTTAAGGCAAAGCAGGAGTGATGCCAGCTGGAGCACAGCTTTGTAAGTATAAAACTGGGTCTCACATTCTTCACCCAAACTTCACAGTGCCTGATGTTCACAAGAGCTGTGCTGTCACAGGAAGAAGCCATTGTCCTCACTCTGAGCACCAGCTTCCCACTCCTTTAGATGTGTGTGGGTTAAAGGTCAAAGCCCTTGGACATCTTGAGGCTCAGCGCTGCCCCCAGGACAAATGGATTTAATTAAAGTGGAGGAAGGGGCAATGTGGGTGCTCCCGCCATAGTCTAGATTTTTGTCCTTAGGGACTGCAGGGGCTGTGTGCTGGGGATGCAGAATAGGAGGAAGACGCCAGAGCCACCCTCCTGGGAGAAGCTAAATTAATTCAGGGGAATCAAAGGGTCTTTTCCTCCTTGATCCAGCAAGTCCCCCTCTCTTTCATAGCCACTCCGGGGGATTTAAAGCAAGTCAGGCATTGACTCTTCAACCCATACACTAGAGTTTCATTTGAAGGAAACTTTGTTCTCAATCTCCCTCCTCTCTGTTAAAGGCTGTTTACCACACTGACATTTCCAGTATTGATACTGAGACCAACCTCTCCAGTGGGGATTCAGACAAAGGCCAGCTTGGTTTGCTGATGCCTCGTGACCTAATCAGTGAGCTATTACAGAGCACACGAGTTCCCCCATTCACCCGGAGCCTGCACACCACTGACATGCTCTGATGGTGGAAGTTGCCCCCTCCCTCCAAGCTAGAGATAATATAGGAGGCATCGGGACCCAGAAGGAAATGAACTGCCGGAGGACGAGGTACAGCACTTTCCACTTGCTAAAATCACTTGCCCGTAGCTGTGCTTGGCCCATACAAGTAAGGAAGCACTGTGGATGAAAGAACATAGGCTTTAGAGTCAGAGTCCCAAAGCTAAAATATGGCTCAGCCACTTACTATTTGTGTGACTTAAGCCAGTTTCCAAACCTCTCTGGGGTCCAGTGCCCGTATCTGTAAAATAAGTATAATAACAGTACAACTTCACAGGATTGTTATAAAACCAAGTAAAATGGCCGTTGAGAGAATGTATATGTAGTAGGTATCAATGAATTTATTTCCCATGTCTTCTATTCTCATCCCTCAGTTATGTGGCCTCAGATAATTTATTGAGTAAATAGCACAAATCACAGCCACTGATCTTCTAAGTCAAGCCATGTTCTATAAAACAGATAATAAAATCTACCTCTTAGGCTTAGGGAAGTAAAGTGCTGGGCGAACTGCGTATCCCACATAAATGCTTACTCTGTAATAACTATAAATAATAACTAATTTAGCCGTAATAACCAGTCATGCAACCATAAGATGGGGGTGAGGGTTCTTATGAATTTGCTGTCATCTGTGCTCTCTAGACTCCTTACCTGAGAAAGTCACTGATGCAAGAACAAGAAGCACACTTGCCCTCTTTCTTTCAGGGAAAGTGAGCTCTGCTGCCCAGATTGCCAGAAAATGAAAATGGGAGGCAGGAGAAGGTAGAGGAAGGAAATAAACAAGGGTAAGAGAAGCGAAAATGGACAAAAGACAAAGAAAGACCGACTTCCTCCCTCCAAACCCTGAGGGAGGCATTAGCACCTTGCAGCTCCTGCCGCCATCCCCTGGGGCTTCCTTAGGCAAGTCCTGGCTTCAGTTTTTCAGCACGCACCTCTTGGATAGCTCCCCAGCTGTGGACCTCGAAGAGGCAGGAACCTTGTGCCTATTCTGTCCCAAATTACCTCTGCTCTTGGGTTCCCCAACATCCATACATTGCACAGCTTTTTGAAGCAACTTTATTAGGGTTTAGAGGTTAGCTCTAAAGAGCTCCGTGGCTCTAGACACAGGTCCTAGCCCTTGAGCGTTACCTGAAACTAGCCTAAGCCATTATCGTTGTCGGGATACGGCAGTGACCACCCAGCTTGTCTCCTTGCTTCTATTTCTGTGTGCCCACCCAACTCGGTCCACACAAGGCAGCCAGAATAAACTTTTTAAAATGTTAATCTTATCATTCTCTTATTTTAAGAGTCCTCCCCATGCTTCCCATGGCTTTTAGGCCTTAAATAAGACGTTTATTTAGGCCCATGTGTAATCTGTCCAACCCTAATTTCACCACCCCCTCTTCATGCCATTCATCCTCTATCACTCTACCTGGTACTTTACTAAACTTCTTTAAATTCAGTTGTACCATACTAAATTCTTACAGGTTTTTGTATCTTCCATTCTCCCCACCTGAAGTGTTCTTCCTCTACCTTCCATCTCCTTAACTACCACTTTTCCTTCAACTTTTTAAAGAAGCCTCCCCAGACCCCTGTACTATATAGTATACTTACAATATATTCTCACAGCTCTTTAAACACCCTTATAATAACTTGTCACTCTTTGCTGTTTTTTTAATATCTGAATATACACACTGACAAGTCGGGGATCGGGTTTGTCTTATGCATCACTGTTTCCTGAACATCTACCACATAGCATGCCCATTAAATATGTGCTGATAGAATGATGTACTGAGGGAAGTTGCAAATATTTCCAAATTCCAGAGAATTCACTGAGAATTTCACTGTTGGTATCCATCTAACATTCCTAGTCTGTTCAATCTAACAAAAGAGATAAATCACATGATAATAAAAACTACTGCAAAGTGTTGTATATATCAGAGCTATACCTGTGTCCTACCAGATGAGCCCAAGCAGCATTTGTTACTCTTATGACAAGGAATTCTCTTTAGACACTCACCCCGAACCTCTGCTTTCTTGACTCTGGTCACTGTCCTATCACAGTCACTTTATAAGAAAGACTTTGCTCTTAATTGTGTGCCCAGATCCTTGTGGTTTGGGAGATCTGGAGCTAAGCACTTGAGAGCAGAGAGCTGTATTCAGATAGTTCCCACCACATAGTAGCCCTTCTGCAAAGGCTCAGAGAATCTGCCTTGGGTATATGAAGGCTGATGACAGAGAGACATTGATCCATGGCATGGTTTTCTTCCATCCATTTACAAACAGGCAAAGTAATAGAAATAATACTATCATCTTTCATCATTCTGAAATGATATTAACTATATAACTGTACCATAAAGAATAACAAGAAAAATCTCCAAGAGAAGTTCCCAAGATATTTTGAGCAGAGGTAATAGCCCTGGAATACAGATGCTACTCTCAAGGTAATTTTGAAGGCCAGCACCAACTCAAATATTGGCTTGATGTGTGCTTAAAAGTTATCTCATTACTTTACATCCACCTCTAGATGAAGAAATGGTTTCATTCATCCTCTCCCCCATTTTATCATCTCCCATCCATTGAATTGCCACTCTTCCTGCCGGAATTAATTCTACCTTTTCTCAAAATGAAAGAAAAGAAAGTTTTCTCCCCTTATTCTGTCAGTCTCTTGCACGGACATATCCCTGGTTTTTCTCTTTAAAATCATATGTCCTAGTAAATTAACACACTGTTACCGCATTATCCCAAGTTTTGACATGCTTACAGAGCAGAGGCTGGTGCTAAGTTCAACTCATTACAAGATGAATGTACCATGGATTAAATTGCACCACAAATCACTGCAGTCACACAGCCAAATAGAAAGTACATAACTGAATGCACACGTGCAGATTCTATTCCCCAGCATTATCATTATAAAGGCTTTTAGCAGTACACTACATATACAACCTAACAAGAAAAAATGTTCCCTCCAGAGATATTTAGATTTCTGTTTCTTTGCACCCTTTGTCCTGAAGGACAAGTGGTGTGTTTCATAAATGCATCTTTCAAATGGGACCGGTTAAACTGAGAGTTATGTCTTCATGCACTTAGACCAGAAACTCCCAGAACCAAGATTTTTTCCTCCATTCTTGCTTTTCATCCACAGACTTCCCATTTTGTATGGGGTGCT